GAATTATTCTCTGTTCATTTAGTTTCAGTAAGATTTCATAGAAATAACTTTTTCGCGGGAGATTTTCGTTGACGAGAGAACGTTCTTCGGTGAATTCTTCCGATTTCGTTCGTTCATACGTTATTCGATAGAGTATATTGAGATAAGAGAAAGACTAAAAGAGTTCGGGCCCATGGCTCTTTAAGGCTCGGTTTTCTGGAAAATCAGTTTTTCAGAAACCCTGAAAAATAACCCAAACCTTTCTTAATGAGACATGGTTGTAGTTCGCAAATTTCTGATTAAAATGAGATATCTCCCAGCTCTTCGCGATCTTTCTTTGCAAAGTTATAGAATTTACACGAAAAACCCTAAATTAATTTCTTATGTCTATAGCTTTGAGCTGACAATGAACATTTAGGGCTTTTCCTGCAAATTCTATGACTTTACAAAGAAAGATCACGAAGAGCTGGCAGATATCTCATTTTAATCAGAAATTTGCGGGATACAATCATGTCTCATTAAGAAAGGTTGGGGTTATTTTTCAGAGTTTCTGAAAATCCAGAAAACCGGGCCTTAAAGAGCCATGGGCCCGAACTCTTTTAGGCTTTCTCTTATCTCAATATACTTTATCGAATGACGTATGAACGAACGAAATCGGAAGAGTTCACCGGAACATGTTCCCTCATAAGCCAAAGAATTTTAACAACGCAGTCACATTTCTAGAATCCGCTATCATAAACTTAAAATTTCGTGATACCTACCATTTCCACACTCAAAATACTATGCACCACTTATAACAAAAGTTCAAAGTTGAAAAAAATGTTGTGGCAGAATATAAAGACGCGGTGTTTATATATAAATGTGTCTGCAGTATCTCAAAAGCAATGCTACAGTGGATATTTTAGTTCTACTTGCAGGTCAATCAAAATCAAGGGGGAAACAGCAGAATTCAAAGCAGCTGTTCCTATACAAACTTCCCAAAGTTCGAGAAACTGGAGGGATCCCTGGGAGTACAAGAAAAAATCGGAAAAAGGGGTTAGAATCCGATGATCCCGAAAATCTGTAAAAATGACTGAAAATGGGGCTAAGCGGAAAAAACGCGGACAAATTCAAAAACAGTCAGGAAAATTCTTCGGGCTTAGCGAAGTCACGAAGAATACCAAGAAGTCTCCAGGAGTACAACAAAATTTGAAAAAAATTGATTGCCTGTGGAACGAAGCCCAAATTACAAAAGTCACAAAATCTGCGGTTTCCCCCTTGATCAAAATTCACTTCTATTAGAGTGCGGTAAAAACATTGACGTCACGTTGGAAATTACAGTAGGTTTGAGTTTTTTATGGTGGATATAGTTCGTATATCTGCTTGTCTGTCGTACTATTAAAAATAGTATAAAATACAGGTTCGTTAATTATCATGAAAACTAATTTTAGCATTTATCTTCTTGAACGGCTCATTTCTGGATTACTAAGTCGAATAGCTCATTCAACAATCTGCATAAGATTGTACTAAATACAATACTGCATTTTTTAGAATAATTTCTTAATTAAAAAGATGACAGCATAGCATGCACTGACAGACCTCTTTTTAATTTTCATTCAACAACTTTTCCATCAATCAAACATCGAGAGATCGATCAATCAGATTTCTTTCCTTTCTGTTCCTAGGTGTATGACGCCTAGAATCCTATGAGGCAAACGTTTTTGTATACCCGAACGTATAAACCCAATTTCGAACACAAAATTTTTGTCCTATGCCGTAAGCCTGAATCCGTGAGCGAACAATGTTGTGCCGAGGCTGTCCGTTCCATGGAAAAAACTTTTTGTATCGTTTTATAACTGAGAAATTTTTTTTCTGCAAATGTCAAAAGATAAATCGTAACTGTTCAAGAGTCGATTGTGTATATACTAATAGGTCAGAGTTAAAGATCGCGCGATTGGCAGAATCGCTTCGAATAACTCCTTGTTGTAAACTAAACTTCAGCTTATTATCCACCCTTCAATTCTCAACTTATTCTTTCCAGAATCTCGACGATGGAATTTAATTCTAATTTATATGATTTTAAACTTAAAATAAGTTCTTTTTTAAAACTATATTCTACATCTACTCACCAGCTCAGAATAAAAGAAAGTATTATAAACCGAGTTTTATATGTGAGACATCCTATCAAGTTTAAATTCAAACTATTTCGCCTCTCTCGGTTATATTAGTTTTTATTACTTATTACAGCATTAAAATTCTAATTTGATGGGTTACAGGAACTAAACATTTGAAGTTGTAGCATTATTACAAGAAAAAGATATAACTAACGGGACAAGCGTTTTCTGCGGTTTGGTCCGCCTCCGTGTAATTGTTTTTACTCCGAATCCGCGAGCCAACTTTTGTCCCCATCTCATGGAACAGACGGTTCGAGATTACCTCACATGGGCTCTAGTGATGCAAGAGAGAACCATTTTTGAGAACAGATATTCTATTTTGATGATTATGTTTCTTTTACTTTTCCAAACTCATAAAATCGAATTCACAGACAAAGATCGATTCGATGCTAGTCCCACAGTGTTAAGAACAATATGATTTTACGGTGCCATTAGCGTTTTGCGTGTAGCGGATGTTGTCCACAAAGAAGCTGCAGTAACAGATGCAGCAACCAGAGATCGTCGTGGGACGGGATGGGACGAAAATTTCCTCCTACAGAAAAATATTTTCATCCCATCTTGTGAGTATTCAAAAGTTTTCGTCCCGTGAGATCCCACAGGATCCCATTAAAATGTTTTTTCTCTGAAAATTGTTTCTTGTTAAGCGGAGTTTCTGCAGCAGTTGTTTTTCTAGTTTCGACGTAAGAAATTATAAAAATCTGCTATTCCACATTAAATTATGTTACATTTATAAATCACTAGATTTTCGTCGTAAAAAAGATAGACCCACTAACAAAGTAAAAAAACAACAAATGATATTTGTCATTTTGAACTATTCATCTTTTCTCAGAAAATATCACGCACTAAGAGAATCAGACGAGGTTACGAACCAGGTTGTGTGACCAACCGTGTGAAATATAACAAGCCGGATGACCGGCACACGACAACTCCAGCTTAGATTCAAAAATGCATCTGAAAATTCAACAATACAACAGACTAATTTCCTATGGGATGAAATTTTTGTCCCGTCTCATAATTTGAAAACTTTCATCCTATTCCGTTCCGTCCTACGGCTTGTTTATCTTGTCCTGTCTCACGGATACTTTAAAAATTTCGTCTCGTTCTATAGTAACCTATGAGATTCCCGTCTCACGACGATCCCCTGGCAGCAACGTAGCTGCATAGAAAAACAGGGGTGGGGGTTGTTAAAAAAGTTTTCTACTGGAGAAAATTTATTTTTATTTTTCTGTTTTGAAAAATTCTAGAGAACCAAAATGATTTAAAAAGTCGCATGCTTAATTTCGATGTATAATCAGAATCAATGTAAAATGCAATGTTTTTTGTAGAGATATACATTAATTGTAAATGTCGGTGGATAAAGTAAGTGCTTAAAGATAAAAATTGAATTTAAATTTCTGGAAAAACATCCTAAATTCATTGGAGTTACATATGTCTGAAAAAATAAAGAAATCTCAGTTTCTAAAGAGTAAAGTAACAATTTCTATCACTGTACACTTGTTTCTGAGTTTCACAAGATAACCAGTGCGTCAAATTTTTTTCATGTATCTGTAAGAGAATCGTATATAATTTGATTGTACCACGTTCTTGAAGAAAAGATCGAGTAAAACATGGTGAAATCAAGCTGCTGCAACTAACCAGCTGTTTCATGAGAAAGCCATTTGGACTAGAAAAAAGTGTTTCCATTTCATTTAGTGCAGTCAAAAATTCCTACTTATATTCTTGATTATTTCTAAAGTTTCTTAGACCAATAAAATATTATTTTCTCAGAGAAAAAGTAAAATTTTGTGTATTTTTTTGAAATAAGAAGGATTATTTCGTATTTTTCTTCAGGGCAAGCTGTTGATGTCAAGTAGTCCAGAAAAACTTTCGTTAAGATTATCTTGAGATCTATTGATAAGGTTTTTGTGATTCTAAGACTATTCAAATTACAAATTGTGAGAAGTGGAACTGTTTGGAATCCTAGAAATGTTCTAGTCATTTATTTCAAGCCTCGAAAATTGAGAAAATTTCAGAAATAACATTGTATTTTTTCAAACGATAATTATTTTAACGTACTAGTACGATGTCTCGTATAGGGTAACCTTCAACAAACGTACTGAAAAGTCGATTTGTCAAACAGCTGTTTTATCATATGATTGGCATGACTTATTATGTAAAAAGTATAATAACTATAATAAGCTTTGATGTATTTGTAAAATTCAACGAATTCATGTTCTAACAGGTATCTACTTTTCAAATCGTAACCAGTGCATTAGCACAAGTGCAGTCTAGTTTTTACTTTCTTTTTTAACGGCCAAAATCTTTTAAGACAGCAAATGGTACACCTACTTTTTCATCTCATGTCAAATAAAATGTTGTTTTTCTTTTCTCTTTTTGTTACCGTGTATTGTATTTCGATGAGTACCATTATTAAGAGATGGCTAATGTACATATATTTTAGTTTCAACATTCATGTTGATGAGAATACAAGCTCTTTCTCTTCTCTCTTTTTCTCTCTGCTTTAGCTATACTATAGTGTTTTCGAATTTAAATAACTTTTCTTCTCTTTCTTTTCATGGAAAGAAATTCTTTTTCTTGTGGACATCAAACACTTGATGTTTGTAGGGATGTTTTATCAAGAAGTTTGACTAATTTAGTTGTACATTTTGCCACTATACTATTTTATTTATTTAGCTGCTAAATTCATTATGTCTGATAATAACAATGATCCAATGAATCCGTTTTTCATGCAGTCAGGATGTAAGGCAACTCCTTTATGTATTAATTGCATCAAAAGATTTATAAACCTTTTTGTTTGTAGTTCCACCATTTGTCATCTTACCAACAAGCTTTACATTTAATCAATCAACTACTTTCCAAGAAGACAAAATGGATGAAAATCAAATAAATGTTAATGACAACGATAATAATGATCAGAAAGACAATCATGATCAAACAGGTAGATGCACGTATGCACGCATACTGAATTTAGACGGGAAGAGAAAGTAGCAGTTTCTGTATTTTTTACTTTTTTTTTGGAATATGAAAATAATAATAAGATAAGATTCCTATCATTTTCAGAATGAATTGCTATTCAATATCACATCTGCTTCATGACACTCTTGTTCTTGACCTTCTGAACAATTTAGCTCAGATAAATTCGTGTAGAAAAGTATAATTTTTATTTAAGTACTAAAATGATCGGATCAAAGGACATAACAAACACGAAACGCTTGTTTTGTATGTATCGTGCTGAAATTACTATTGTCAAAATGTGGTTTACTCGATCTACGAAGTCGATAATCGACAAAGATTACTTTCATAGATCAAACCTGTTTTGAGTTCGAGCAGGCCTGCTTAATTTTCCAACGTCTTTCTTTTTGATTTATTCTGTGAGAAGATGTAGTACACAGAAATTTTCTAATTTTGTGACATAATACATGCGTCAAATTGTTAAACTTTAGAGTAATGTGTTTGTGTTCTCGTTTTTTGTTTAGAAATACTTGTTGATAATGAAAACAACGATAGCAAGAATGATACGTTTACCAATGATGAAAATATCGATAGTGATACATCGAATGATGATAAAATGAAATCGTTGTTTAAAAATAATAATCTTCGTATTAGTCAACCGAAATATGAAAAATTGTTAAAAGATCTTGATTTTAGTGAGTGTCGAATGGTAGACGTAACCGATATGTTAAATGCTGAAACACAGCCAAATACTAGTTATTACACACCAAATGAAGAACAATCATTGACTTCCTCTTCTTCGTCTCCTTTAATTCTTCCTTCACGTCAGACAGTGCTCGATAATGAACAAAATTTTAATTTTCCATCAAATTTAATCGATGATATTCATAAGAATATTTACGATCAAGATGACGAAGAAAATCATTTTCATGATGATACTTTTCAAAATGATTTGGATCTTTTGGCCACTATCATTGACGAAGCATGGAAAAATTCATCGAAAAGTGATACAGAAAATTGTGAACAACCACCTCAGGATAATAATCTTTATTCATCGAAAAAATTTACTGTTACAGATGATAATGAAGAACAAAAAAAAGAGATATTAGATGAAGATGATGATACTTCAAAACAAGCAACATCGAACTATGACTTTGTGGATAATGAACATGAAGATATACAACAGGTTAGTAGTTTTTTTGGCATCAAATCTAGAAGGAGGAGTGACAATAGATAAATACTTCTTTTTAGGGCATACCATCAAAATCAAGTAAAACATCTCGTCCAAAACGACTTGATAACAACTCTGAATATACATCGTTAAGACAAGAATCGGTTCCACGTTATATTAAACGTGAAAAAAAGACGCTGATATCGAAAAGTCTGACAGAATCACTAAATAATGAAATACCGAATGATCAACATTCTTCTGCTAATGATCAGCATATTTCTTCATTCAACCCCAAACATTCATCACAAGCAACGTCTCTAACTCTACAACGATCCGCTTCATCGCCGAAGAATAGTCTTCAGGAGAATGGAGATGAAAATGTTACTACAGTCACTGATAATTCAGAACATATATTAAATTGGGGTAACTTAGTTAACGGTAGTATCTGTGAATCAACAGACCCTGTTGCATTTGTTTCTACTGATACATTCTTACAACCAGCTCACCGTCAATCGACTGAAATTAGAACACAATCGAATAGTGATTCTCTTTCGAAAAAACACCCACAACACAAAAAAAAATTGAGGACAACTTCGCGTCCGTTAAACACTTCGGACGAAGAACAACCTCCTGTTAGTCCGCGACGATCAGTAAAAAAATTAAATGAAGTAGAAGAAGTTCCACCATCATTATCTCGTTCACCGTCCATCTTGTCATCCGATGCTGAGTTACTAATGACAAAAAATCCCGATCAACAACAACAAAAAGTACAACAAGAAAATCGATTAATTAGGACAAAGACTAACGTTGAAAGACAAGATAGTCAAGCAACGTCGATCGATGACAATCTAGATGAATTTAGTAGTCAGATGAAAACAAGCAAAATGAATGATAAACAAGGATATACGGATTATGGAACGAATAAACATCGTGAACAAACATCAATTATAAATGAAAAAAAAAGTAATGAAAAGAAGAAACAATCGGCATATGGTCCTAGGTAATTAAAAGTGTTAAATATAATTAGTCCGATTGATTTTTAGTTTGATCTATCAAAGGATTATATGACTTTTCGTCAGTAATTCTTGAGCGTTTGTTCATGTTCACTGCTCCATTCTATTTGTGTTCAGTCTTTTGCCTTGATGAAAAAGAATTCGTCTTTTTTAGCGATCGCCCATATATGACGGCAAGCGATATATTATTAAGACGTTTATCAAATGAAAATATAGAAAAACAACAATCTAATGATGAAACATTGTCAAATTGCCATCATTCTTCTTCTAATCGTCATCCTGTTAGATCTCATTGTTTATCAAACAATATTAACAATGAGACTACATATAAGAATAAACAATTCTCATCCAATAGAATGGAGGTATGCTCAACAAGAAAATATCATCATACTGAAATATTCGAAGATTTAGAATGACTGTTGGAGGAGAAAAAATTTGAGTGTAAATTATGCATCTATTCTAGGATACATGGCTAACAATGTTAGAAAAACTCGAACGAGAACATAAAGAACGATTAGAACATCAACAAATGGAGTACAAAGAATATATACATGGTTTAGAAGAGAATATGAAAAAACGTTTTGATGACTATATTGTGGATCCGACAATGGAGTAAGTATGTAACATGTACGTTTTGCGTTTAAAACTAAGATTAAGTATACGTATTTAGTTCGGATGATTACAATGATAATCGATCATATTTATCTACAACATGTAGACAAGTGAGACAATTATCACATCATAAATTAAATGACAATAATACATCTTCCTCATCATATAACAACAAATTAAATACGGCTATTGATCGTGCTTTAAAACGTCGACATTACAAAGAGCCATCATCTATTCGTGAAAGTTTATCCAACGATCTATCAATGTATTATTATCATACGAGATTATCTCGGTCAGGATCAAAAGAAGACTTAGTTCAAAAGAAGTAAGTTAGCAGAGGTTAATAGATCTAAGCAGCATTGGATGATTGAATATGAATAAAACATTTACGTATGTTGACCTTTACATACGCTTTATTCCATTCTACTATTTGCATGATGAAGTTTCTAGAAGCGATCCAACCTCGAAGATCTGTAAACACTCGAAACAAGCGAAATTGACTAAACATCCATGAAAAGATTTTTAAAATTATCAGATCGCCATTTGATGAAAAAGTGTCGTGGAGAATTAGGAGAAAACCTTATTTTGTTCAAAAATGTTTACTTTACATAAACGAGCTGTCGGATAAAAGCTCTGGTTGAAGAAAAAAGCTAGAAGAGGGGTGGCTGTCCCTATATTTTTTTCCAGTATACTGGAAAGATGAAAATAATTTGTGGGCATATTTTTATTGAACAGCATTTTTAAGGCATCTCCTGTGGCTCTAGACAAGAATCTCGCAGATCAATCTCACAATTGATTTGCTACGAGAATTTTGATTACGGAACTTGATCATCAATGTTAGATTTTCGAAGTTTCCAAACAAGAATCATTACGTATAAAAGATTCATTGCGATTTTGATAATTAAGACGACTGAGTGAAACGATAGAAGACTTATTGCTTTTCACCTCGACATTGTCTCGCAAAATTCTTTCTTTCCACACTGTGTGTATCGTTTCATTCAGTCGACTTTCCAATCTTTGTACAGCATAGTTGGTCTCTAATTCTTTAAGCATCAGTATTTTAAAGCCATGATATTCTCTTGACTACTCTTCCGACAAATAACTTTTTCGAATTAGTTAATTCAAGAGTAGTAATAAAATTTGTCTTGTTATCGATCTTGTTTCTTTCTCTAGTTTACGTAATTTAATATTTTCTTTTCTCGCAAATTACCTTGATACATTTTGATTACTAGTTAAGCGTTTAATTCTTAATTATGTACGATAATCCTATTTCGATTGTATTTGAGGATTATATTTCCTATCATTTAATGATTATATATATATATTAAAATTGGTCTATTAGAGGTTTTTCTGTAATGTTAGATTTAGTCGTAACATAAGGATTTCTTTTGTGGTATGTCATTCATTTGCATGGTATTCCTCTTAGATTCCTCATTTCATCCCGTTCCCTTCTTTTCTATCCTATTCTTCCAGCACATCGATTAAAGTCAATTTTTACTGTTTGTTTCATATTTTTTTGGTATTATTGAAGACTCGTTGAGAGGTTAACAGTTTCCATAATTTCTTTTTTTTCGTTCTTCAGTTATTATGTCAACGAATAGTTAATTTTTTCTTTATTGTTCTTCCTATATTCGTTCTATTGAATAATAACAATAATCGAAATGAAAAACATATTTTCAGTTATTTAAGTGTTCTTATGATCGATTATTATTCTATTATTCTCTTTTTTCTCTTTTTTCGTTCTCTCTATTCCAGTGTAAAAGCTGAAATGCATGCCAAACATAATAAACATGTGGCAGATTTAAAGACATATTATGAACATGAGATTGATGAATTAAGACACGAATTAAAAAAATATCGTTTAAAATTGACAAAAATGGGGTTAGTGAGAAATGATGAACGCGCATATCAGTCAATTTCTCATTTTATTGTCTTATTTATAGATTAACACCATCAAATGTTAGTGTAGCACCAAATACACCACCACCGTCAAAATTATCGTCAGCTATCACATCAAAACCAATAAGACAATCATTTGAAACAATAGATCGAAGTAGCCATGAAAATATTCGTTTAAAACATGAAATTACTGATTTTCAAGACAAAATGGTATTTAACATATTTTTTAAAATATTTTTTTCTTTTCTTCTATGATAATCACCCTGTTTTCTGTTGTAGTTTAACAAATCTAAAACAGGTCCGTGCTTTTTCTTTTCAAAACTAAACCACTTTTGAATTGAATTGAATGAATGAAATAGAGGAAAATTGATATTTTAATATTTTGCCAATGCTATTATTTCTGCTATTTTTTTTATCAAATTCACTAACCTGCATGCTTATAAGTCTGATTAATAGATAATCATGCATAATTTAAGATCCATAGTTGTTCATATGTTAGTGATTGATCATTTATTGATCGTTAACATTGTGCTGCGTATAGATATTTCTATACATTAAACTCTATTAATATTATAACAAAATAGTCTTAGTAATAAACAATTATGATTACCATCATTTCTAAACTTCAAGTTTGACTATTTGTTTTTATAGTTGTACGAATTCTATAAACTGAAACAATCATTTATAGTGAAATATGTCTAGCAGAGTTGTTTTAAATCTTATTGAGATCATGATTAAATGCTCACTTAAACTTGCTCATTCCGAAAAGTTGATGACGTTTCTTTTTTTAATTATCAACTAAATTTTTTTGAGTAAAAAAGATAAGAAATGAGAAAAAAAGGTACTCAGAAATTTTTTTTTGAAGTTGCTCAGTAAAACTTTCACACCCTTTCCTCCCTGCTTTTGTATGATTGTTGTTAAGTTTGAAAGTTGTTTATATAAGTTATTGCTCAAACTAACAGTACGTTTAATATATTTTTCTTTTTAATTTTAGAAATATACTGACGATCAAAATGAAGCTCATATAGCTTCATTGGAACGTCAAATACAAGAATTACGTGAAACTATTAATGAAAAAGATCGAGATTTTGAGAATTATCACAGAACAATAAATAAATTAGAAGAACAATTAACAGAAGCAGAAAATGTAGGTAGACAATTCTGAAGACGTATTAGAATCAATCAGATTGTTTGTGTAATCCTTCAAATCACTACAGAACCATTTTAATAAATGTAGAATGCTATTCTAGACCAAAGAACGTCAAGATGAAAAGTCTCGTTCGATCGATCGAAGTTTATTCCTTTATCGAGAAGAAAATGAAAAACTGAAAAATGATTTACATATGACAAGGGTAATTGTATATTGAACATATTTTTTATTTTAATTTTAAATTAATATTCTTTTGAACATAATTTTATATATGACTTTTAGTTAATGAAATAAGACGATAAACATCGTGTAATTTTGGAAAAACTTTTCTTTGATGATTAAAAAAAAACAAATGTCTCTTGAATCTTTTTTTATCCTAGCTTAGAACTCTTCTGTATGATACATCATTGTTTTGTTATTTTTATGCTTGTACAGGAACGTTTGATGCGTATGGAAGAAAAATGTCATATTCAAGAAGATGAAAATGAAAAATTAACTCGTCAAATATTTTTAATGGAAAATGATTTAAAACATTTTCAAACAACAACGCATGAAATACCCTATTCGCGTGATTATGAACGATTTACAACAATAAAAAATAATCCATCAATATCAATAACGCCAAGATTAAATGATAATCTAGTAACCGAACGTTATTCAACATATAATTCCCATAATTCTATCAGTACGTTATTTTCTTTATTATCTAAAATATTCAATATTATAGTAGATCTATTTCCTAATTATATATGTCTCTTAGAAAAATTGAATTAATATATTCATTTTTTCAGACAATAATGATTCATACCGTTTAAGAAATCATGCAATATCACCTAGACCAATTACAAAAATTAGTGACTATATAAATAATAGTCCATCATCACCTAGACAATTTCATTACGATTATATTCCAAGTTAGTATAATTATACTCACTTATAAGTTATAAATTGACTCTGTTCATTTCAACAGTAATTTTATCTTTTATCATTAATACCACTCTTATTGTTGTTGTTGTTATTATTTTTTCATTACTAGAAAATCCTCCATCATCACCAGACTCATATTCACGTATTCGTCAACAAAATACATCAACAAAAGTAAACTGATCCCATTTATTATCTCAATACATAAAATATTAATTTCTTTTTTCTAGAATGGTGATCAGTATCAATTAAAACATGCCGAACATATGGAACATCAGTTTGATCAATTAATGGGAAAAAAACGTGATCTAGAATCTCGATTAAATCGTATACCTACACGTGGATTATCGACAAATGATAAACTATTATTTGATTATCTTGAAAATGAATTATCCAATGTTGAAAAACAAATTTCATCTGTTAAATTAGAATTAAGAAAAATGCATATATTAAAAACTACTACACATTAAGAAAAATCTATATACACACACATATACGACCACACATAATGAAAATCCGTCCACTAAATTGTGAAATCTTTGTGAAATGTTCAGATTTGAAATGATATTTTATTTATGAACATATTGTCATATTCATATTTTTATTGTTTACATCGTGTTTCTTTTGACAATAGAATATTATTATTATTATTTCTTAGCTAAAACGTATGCTATTATGCATTTTAATTTTTCTCTTATTTTCTTCTCTTTTATTTTTATTTTTATATTTAATTTTGATAAATAGTTTTTATTTTCTTCCATATTTTGTTTGCATGGGTCTATATTAATTCTGTTCTATATCATCCATGCGGAACTGTACACAAAAAAAAAAAAATTTTTTTTTTCTTCTTCTGTGATATTGAATTTAAGCTATTTTTGTAGAGAGTATACTGATCATTTTTTGTTTTCTCTTCTTAAACGAGAGACAAAATATTAAAAATTAATCTTTGTCTTTAATTTATTTTGGATAAATAATTTTTTCTTTTTTTTGAAATATATGTTCACAATATTATTATAGATATTTTCTTGTTTTTTTCATTATATAACAAATAATTATTGATGAACAAACTATTTTTATTATAAATGAAGGACGTACTATTACGCAGATAAAATATCGAGAGAAGGAGGACCTTTCATATAAAGCAGTTACCAAGGATATCACGTGGGTTTGTCCAGGTTATTACAAAAAAAAAAAGAAAAAAATTATGTTTATCTTTTTTAATATTATGAAACAATATCACACATTCGATAGGGTATTTGGTACCTTAAACTAACTATAAGTTATATATAAAAGATGTACCGGTCTATTCATTTTTATTGATAATTTGCAATGAGAAAAAATATGTAGAGAAATTGAATACTTTTAAATCAACTAATGTATAAATCGAATTGATTTTATTAATTAAAAAGTTAATTTTTGATTGTTAATTTAAAAAATGACAAGTAAATTATTTTATTAATATTTTTGATTTGATTTAGGATTATATTTTTATTTTTTATATTTTTAATTTTAGATTAAAAAAATAAAATATTGAAACGTATGTCTTCATCATCATCATCATCATCATCATCATCATCATCATCATCATCCACTGATGTTTGGGATTGTCCTGAATTTGATTTTTTTCTTCCAAATGAACGAAAACAACTTAAAAATGCATATCAAAATTATACAATAAATACAAAACAATTAGATAATGAAGAAAATAATAAAACATTTGTTCAATCAAAACTTCAATTATTTCAATTATTTATTCGAACATATCCGATTAATATTCGAAGTTTTAGTTTATTTCATCAACAACAACAAAAATGTTTTGTTGAAAAATTATTTTATTTAATTTTAAATTCTGTTGATATGACTCATTTTCAAACATTTAATATTCAATCAATAATAAATATTAGTACAGAATTTGAAAAATATCAACGTTATACAAATAAATCTATTGAAAATACGGGTAAATTAAATGCTGTTATTCAATTTGTTTTATCATTTTCATCATCGACAACATCATCATTTTCCATTAATAATTTATTTTATTTATTATTAAATGATATAAGTGATTTTAGTGGAAAATCAGTTGATCGTATATCAGAATTATTAAGAACATATCATTTTATGACATATGGACATGTTATTAATAAAAATTATCTTATTACAACGGTAGGTAAACTAAAATATGTTTTGTGAAACTCTGTCAGTATTTCATTGACTGAAAGACAATGGTCGGTCTTACAACTCTAAATACAAATTCGTGTTGTCTGTCTGTCAACATCATCTGAATTCTACAGATAATTCCTCTTGGGACGGAATTTCCATTCCAATACGTGAATTAAGTCGAAACAAGCTTTCATATAATATTCATGTGATATTGTTGGATATCTGGAATATTTGGCAGACTTTTTCGAATTCGACTCAACCGGCGTGGGAAGGGGAACGGCATTGTGAGTGAGTGAAGAAACAAGTTTGAGAGATGGGAATCAAAGGGAAAGATTAATCTTTTCACTTTGATTATGTATCGGTGATTTTTCACACACTCTTTTTTAACGAAAACAGCAGTCCAATATAATTTTTTAAACTAAGAAGTTTATATAACCCGACTAAATTTAGGGTAATTGGAATGAAATTTTAGTGGAAGAAATATGTCACAGATGAACTGAATTTACACGATGTTTTTCGAAAAATCGTATCATACCTCAAAATATCGACAATATCGACCGATTGATTATACTTCATACTAATGCCGGTATACCAGTCGCCGTTAAAATTCATGCCGATATACGGGCCGGCGTTATAATTCATACCGGTGCCGGTTGCACCTGTGGTGGTGTATCCCTCTTAAAAGGGTAGTGTATTTATCTTAAGAGATAGCTGCAATTTTCGTTCCTTCTCTATGTTAGTGTATACTATTCCCAATATCATCTTTCGATTAATGTAAAGGAGTTTTTTTCACCATTTTAGTCCCACAAGGGACTGCTCTAACAAGGTGTTTTAATCATATATTTAATGTTTTAAACTACAATTTTAGGTGGATAATGGTTTAAGTATAATGAATTATTGTAATCCATCAATATATGTTTTATATGAAAATTTTTTAAGTAGTTCATATGTTTATAAATGTAATAATATCCATTTACTTTCACTTCATTGTAATTCATCATCATCGTCATCATCATCACCATTGTCAAAACAAAAACAGTCAACATTAAAACCATTATCATTATATACAATAATTCAAAATTTATCATTTTTATTATTAGGTTTACAATTAGAAGATTTTCCATCAGATGAAAAATATTTAAATTTATCAGCAAATACTTGTTATAATATTAAATTAACTATTCGTTATCTTGTTTATTTATATCAACGTCATCAATTAATAATCGAATTTCCATTATGTTCAATTAATAAACAAATTGTTGTTTTATTAGTTCATTCTATAATTGTAAAAAATCAAACATATGAAAATATCAAACATCTTTTTGATCTATTACACGAATATATTCATCATAAACACATTAAATCTATATTAAAATTTTTATTAGAAAAACAATTATTTCAAGAATATATTATTAAAACTTTAGGCTATTTTCATGCATTAAATAATAAATTTAATGATCAACATGATGGATATGATAACAGTGAATATAGATATGGATTGAAACACAATCAATTTAAATTAATAACCAATAAACATTATTCCATAAATATCTATGATACGATATTAACAGTCTATTTTAAATATTTTAATAAATTGTATCAGCTATTTGATACAACTTCAACAACAATATCATCGTCTACATCACAAGATCAGATTGACATATCTGATAGACAAGTGGATTATAAGAAATTTGATGAATTGATCAGTAATTTGGTCGACTATTTGAATGATAAAGTTGAAGATGAGGATAAAATTGATATTGGACAACTGCAAACAATATTCTTATTAAATTCAAATAATAAACTAGAGACAGTCAAATAAATTTTAACGAAGTAAACTTTACTGACCAGAAATTAGACGTTATGCATTAAATAATTGTGCAACATATTAGTTTTCTTTTTTAAAAAAAATAACCGATGATGTGAATTGACTTCTTTCAAATGTATATCTTTCTATGTAAAATAAATAGCTTAACTAATAGTGTTCATAATAATTCTGATCGATTTCATGAACAATTTAGATAATTATTGAATTAATTTGATCTATTAGAATAAAAATTGAAGTAGACACACACGTATTTTGGCTATAAAAAAACAGTACAAAATATATGTGAAAATTATCGAAAGTAAGCGATATATTTTCTAAACATTAATATCTTAGATTGTTATGCAGAACAACTAATATTCATGTGTATTGTACCGTATTTATTAATATCATTTTTGCTTTGATTTTCAAATTGATATTGTATAACCAATTGTTTTTAGTATGTAAATTATATTTTTATTATGATTTTTTTGCTTTATTTTTGCTTTAGAAATGCATATTCATACTTGCTTCATTGTGTTCAACTGTTATTTAACTTTTATGTGTACTAATTTTAAACACAAAGAAGAAAAAATGTAAACTAATTTGTTTTTTATGAAATATTTTTACAAAAAGTGAAATTGGCTATTGTAGAAGAACTAGTTTTCTAATTGATGCTATTAATAACATTAACAATGATAACATTGCAACCGTTTAAGTCTATCTATTAATATATTTTCTTGTGCTTCTTTTTAATTATCTTTATTGCTGTTATTTTCTTGTTTTAAACGATTTATGATTCTCAGGGGTTTCTCTGTCGTTTTCTTTTTATTTCTCGTTAAAATTATAAATATTTACCACTTTTTTCAAACGTTATGTTAATTCTACTTTTTATGTTGCTTATATGCTATTTATAAAAATTCAGTGACTGCTGCTGAAAATAATCCTGTTTCATGCTAGAGCAGAGTAAATAAATGATCTTATCTATAAAAGTATTCGATTTCTATATGAAACAAGATAGGCTAAAGTAGTAAAATTATGTCTCTGTAATAGATATTAATCAAAAAAGTAACAAAAAACAGATAAATAAAAAAACGTATAAGATGATGTTTTGAGATGTAGTAATTCTTGATATACATGTAATTGTGTTCATGATACGTTCTTAAAGCTGATAAAAGAATCAGGCATCCAATGATTCGCTATATAATTGCAAGCTAAACCTAATTTAACGCAATTTTCATTACGTTCTGTGAATTAATCACGTACTTTTGACAAGAGAAATTTGTCTCATAGTCAAATAAATCCAGTATACCACATGCAACACTAAATTATTATTTAAGAAGAGCTACAGAATTATCCAGATTTTGTCCCTTTCTTGTATGAAATACAACGAGTACGACAGCTTTCAATGGGTAAGAGAAGTGCATATTTAATAATGTTCTTTAGATATCTGATTATAAAATGAATTGTGGAAATCAACTAGAGTATACAGACAGGTGTTGTTTGCGACACATGAGTTAGATAAAGGGATTGTGTAATAATCGAATTTCTCACTACATTGTTGGCCAACGATAGAGATCTATGCCGACAATTGATTGAACCGAATTATTAGCTTGCTTGTACTTAAGTTTCTCGTGTACATTGTTAGAGAATGACATTTATTGCTGTTGGATGGATTTGGGGTTCGGTTTGTGGAATAGAGGGTTTATGGAAAACTTCCCATGTTGTGAAAACCGCTCGAAAACTGGCGGTTAAGCGCACAGTTCCGGTTAACTATGTGTTTAACCGGCGGTTTTTGCGTTGTGTTACTATGGTTTCAGCTGAAATAACTGCGGTTTTTAAAATAACCATGATTAACCGACGATTTTCGAGCGGTTTTCACTTTTCGTCGAACCGTATCCAGTCAGAGCGCCAAGCCTAAGATGCATAATAGAATAATGTTGTCCTCAATTCAAAATCTTAAATTTTGTCCACATTATGTCTGAAAGAATGTATCTCAATCAGAGAACTTATCCCTAAAATATTTTCTTAATCAAGCGCTTCCTTCTTTAGTAAGTCGTCTATGATTAAGAAAATATTTTATGGATAAGGATTACTTAAGATTATTACAACAAGGATTATAAGGATTACTTAAGATTATTATACTTAAGATTACTTAAGCCCTGACTTAAGCCCAAACATATCACCGGAAAAAAAATAAAGTTGGTTTAGAGTTGCTGAAAAGTGGTTTTTCGTACTCAGCACACTCGATAACCCAGAGAATTTTCTGTTTTGGACCCGAGGTACTTCCGAAAGTTTAGGAAAAGTTTTCAAATTAATATTATTTTTCCATGGAAAACTTTTTGTGCCATTTTGCTTCAAAATTTTTCTTAAACTTTCAGAAGTACCCCGGGCCATAAATAGAAAATCTTCTGGGTTATCGAGTGTGATGAATACGAAAAATCACTTTTCAACAACTCTAAATCAACTTTATTTTTTTTGTTCCGGTGATATGACTTTGACTTAACTGTAACTTAGACTTAAGTTTTTTCGTAATGCCCCCAGAAGTGATCACACCAGGTGCTTATATGATAATCGTTTTTTTGACCAGATCTTCAAATCTTTATTTCCTAAGATAGAGCAAAATTCTGTCATATATGAAAACGATAGTAGTGCCATTCCGCTGCAGTTATTTGTATGACTGTCAATAGATGGCGTCAGTTGCTAAACTATCTGTCACGATTTACAGTGGAACATTATTACACCAATTGAACCGGTTATTGCAAGCTTTTTTTAAAACAAAAGTCGCCGATTTTGATTTTTTAAAAAGTTGTTATGTTATTTCGCTTTTCATTTTTCTCTGTTCATTTGTGTTAAAAGTTGAACAGATCGGACTCGAAGTACAAAAACTCAAGTCCAAGTCCGAGTCCTTCAAAAAAATCTCCAGTCCGAGTCCAAGTCCGCCAAAAAATCTTCCAGCCCGGGCTCGCTCATGCCTGAATGACGCCGATATTTACTTGAATTTTTTTTGTGATAAATAGTCTTTTCTAGCCAATATCTTCTTATTCTGACATTTTCGACTTACTCGAATGAAGTCTTATATATAGTGGTACATATATGGTAAAATCATTCATTGGCAATAAATTCTCAAACATTGCATCTATAAATTTGATCTATTGCAATTTAATTTTGTGATGAACGGAATGGCAGACTCGTGTTCAGACAGACTTCCTTTCTATTTTTAATTTGTCAACGGTCATTTTTTACAAGAAAAGCGAGCTAATAGCGGCAAATAAGCGCTGATCAAGGTATGTTAGGACTAAGATTAAGACTAAAACTGTTTTATTCACGAAAAGTGAGAGTCATCAAAAGTCACCGACCTGTAATAACGATGACTCAAGCCAAGCAACATCAAAAGAGCAAAAAAAGAACAGAATAAACAAGACAACTAACGTTAGGACCAGAAGTAGTAAAAAGGAAAAAAAGCAAAGGAAAAAAGTTTTTTTTAAAAGATTATTCCAATCAACAATAGTTGAATAAAAAAAAGAAGCATGCACCGTTTGTGGAGAAAAACCATCAACAGAAGATGGAATGCGAACATATTTAGAGTGATGAAGACGTAAAGATGAGTAGTGAGGACAATGAATAGTATAAAAAAGAGAAACAGGACTTAGACGATGATAAATTTTGAAAAACTGTAAAGTCTCAAGTATTTACGACGAAAAGAGAGTTTAGGAAGAGAAAGTTGAGATACAAGTACGGAACTAGAAGAACGATAGTCAAAATTGCGAGAAATAACACGAGAAGCAAGTTTGTTTAGAGAATCAAGAACAGTAAGAGAAAACGAACTGTCATACAAAGTACAGCAATAGTCAATTTTAGGAAAAATAGAAGAAAGATAGATTCGACGCCGAACTTCTAGCTTGAATATCAGAATATCTGAATATCTTAACATCTAGATATATTATGTAAATTGCAGATGTTCACAAATCAGACCCTACTGTGATCATTCCACCTAAGATCGTGCGGAACAAGAACACCAAGACAACGACCAGAAGACACAACAGAGAGAGGAGCACCATTGAGATACAATTGATTACAAACATACGGAAAGAGATGAAAAGAAAATGGAAGCCAACAACATTTAGAAACGTTTAGAGGCATGAGATTGGAAGAAGACCAGTGAGAAACAGAGTTTATACAGTTTTGAACATGAGAAAAATTAGAAGAATCAGTAGGGGAAAGAGGAACAATCAAAAAAACATCATCAGCAAAGAGACAGGTTTCACAATTAGGTGGAAGCGACAGAGGTAAATCATTAATAAAAATAAGAAATAAAAGAGGCCCAAGCACACTGTCTTGAGGAACACCAGAAGGAACAGGAGAAGAAGAGGAGACAGAATCATTCACACGCACACACTGAGAACGATTCGAAAGATAAGAAGATAGAAGAGACAACAAAGAATCACGCACACTACAACGAGATAATTTTTCCAACAAAAGAGAATGAGGAACAGAGTCAAATGCTTTAGAAAGGATACACTGAGAATGAACTGAGAGGTAACTTTTAATTACAATATACTCCAACCGTCAAGATAGCCGGATAAAATATAAAAGTCTAAGATTAACAAATTCCAATGGTAACTAATTCTGGAGATGAGCTCGAGCTTTTAAGGATGTCCTAGTCGAATGACTGATGACCGTTAAAAAGATGACTTCAGTAAGTGAACACTCACTACCTTGTCAAAAAGTGCTTCTAAACCTCAAATTGAGAAATACTGGGATATTTTGAGAAGTTCGGAATCAGAAGTCAATACGGAAACTTCTGAAAAATATACAGCATTCAGGTGTACTGAAGTCATCTTTTTAACGGTCATTAAATTACTGAATTTTAGTTTATCGAACATTTTGCCTATTACATGCTGCTTTAATCTGAATTTGTATCTCGCTTTATGTCATCTCTTCAAAACAAACTTTACTAAAAGTTGATAAAACGCTTTGGCTGAACATTTGAAAAAAAAATTATACTGGCCTATGACTAATGTTCCTTCTCCTTGTAGTCGCCATATCATGGATATCTCAAAAATTTTTGTCCATTCCCAATATATGGTTATAGGCATGACCTCATATGTATATTAAATCGTCCACTGAGGAAAGAGATGAAAGATTGTGGTAGATAATAGCTCCTTAACATCCGCAAGTATCTAATTGAATACTGTTTGTGAATACTGTTGTCAGTTGTAGATATATTTTGTTAAACATGGATATGGATAAGTCCAATTTTACTGACACAAATTGTTGTGTGTATGTGGGAAATATACTATGCATTACAGACGACGAATTATTGAAATACTGCATGCGATACGGTACTGTTGTTCAATCGAAGAAAATATTTGATGATTTTCGAATAATCGAGTTTGCCAACAGAACAACTACTGACAATTTTCTTAGTATACGATGTCATCGAATCAATGATAATAATCTTGATGTTAAATCATACGACAAAGCATATTTGTATTTGGAAAAAATGTACCGTGAACAACAAACAACAACAAACAATAATAACACCAAAACAGATAACACCGACGAAGAATATATACCATCGTGGGGTTCACCAGAACGTGGCATAAAGGACAAAGACTACGATGACGAAATTATAAGAACAACATCACCAATAAGATCAGTAGATAATCATCTATCACGGCACCATACTGATGAACAGATTTTAACAAGCAGACCGATCACAGTAAGCAATTTTCAACACAAAAATACATTGATAATCATTGATCCAACATTTCAAAATATAATTGATAATGAAATGAAACGTATTGAACTCAAATATGAACAAGAATTACAAACATTGAAAAATGATTATGAAATAAAATTTGAGCAAAATCAGTTGTTTATTGATGAGAAAATATGTGAAATAATTCAAGATGAAAAAGCAAATTTTGATTACATAATGCAATCAGCATTGAAAAAAAAAGAAATGAGTAGAAACTTAACATCTGATGATAACAGTAAAAATTATAACAAGAAAAGAAAACTTGTGCAATAAAACTTCAATCTCAAATAAAAACACATGTGTTCAGCCTTTATCCTTATGTTGCAATGAACAAAAAACCATACACTTGTTTTCTCAAATTAAAATATTCGTTGCCATGTAAACACTTTTAGCATTCTTTAAAAGATGACTTTATTCCTTTGTGTTTGTTGATATATTATGTACATTATTTCTTTCTGAAGATCTTTCATTTGTTTTTGCAATAATTTTGCTAGTTGTGAAAAACACATTTTTTTGTTTCAGTTTTTCGTTTTTGATCCATCATTTTAACCCTGTCAGGACGGGATTATTTTTCGTGAAAAAAACATATAAAATACTACAACATAAACATACAAAATACTTTTTTAAAATACTACGTCTCTCTACTCAAAACAGTCAGTGGCCGCCCGTCCTGAAAGGGTTAACGACGATTATATTTTTTTTGTCGAATGTTTCTATACAATATCGGTTATAGATGTATTTTACAAACTTCTCATTCTAGTAGAAAACGATAAAAATCTGAGTTTTTTCAGAATTAAGTCGAAGCTTTTTGGAAGAAATTTGTTCGACTGGGCCGAAAATACGCACTAAGCGTTTTTTTTCTTCTTCATAGCATAACGCATTGCGTATGTGTCCTATATTCTTTGATATTTTTGTTTCTTTGCTGATAGTCAGATACTTTAATGTACGAAGCTCATTAATACTGTTTGTTTTACTGTTTTTTAGATTAATTATAAACTCACTTCGTCATAGTGGACTAAATAGTTGAATAATAAAAAAATATATCTTAGATCTCTCTTATTTTTAGCAATTCACCACTAGACTTATGCTTGAATAAGTGCTACTTGACCTGTTTCTCTTTTCATTTTTGTTTTGTTGAAATACACAATTCCATCATTAATGGATATTGATATTAATATACAAGTATCAAAATTCAGTTGTATTCTTCTGAGTAAAATACATCCTTCATCAAGATGAGCGGATCTTGATTTAAATTTTTTTTTTCTTAATATTTAAAAAAACCATTTTAATCTGTTGAAATAAGACTTATTCAATCAATTTCTTATTTGCAAATAATTAGTCTCGTTCTACTTCTGCAGATCCGATAAATGGTAACCAGTCAAATGAGGCGAGACGTATTTCATTCATTACCAAATAGTGTACAAGAAAATGATGGTGATAATAATATAATTAACGATAAGTAGATGACATGACCAAGCTGGAAAAAGATTTGTGTTTGTTGAAACAAAAAGTCAATTAAAACGTGCTTTATTTTTCGTTAAGCAAAAACATGAGTTTGAATATGAGAAGAATATAAAATGGAACTATTAGATGTGGGTAGTGAAATTAATACATGATACGAACGATTATCGTTGAAAATTTAAAGTTAAATTTGAAAAGCATAAACAATAATTTTAAAATGCACTACACATAACAATCTTCAAAAAGATTTTATCTAACAATTATTAATAACAAAACACAAACTCATTGCTCAACATAACAAATGAATATGGCTGATATTAGAAAGATGAGCATCATTCATGAACGATTGCAAAATTATTAATAATCTTTACACATAATCACAGTTTGTTCTCCGATTTTTTTAGTCTAATCGGCGTCGAATGACAAGATATTATCTTGGTGACATATGAGCTGCAAAAAGAAGATCAATCTTTAGCAAAAAAAAAGTTGAAAATTTTTTCTATAAGTTCTGACAAAAATTTGAGCTCTTTAACATTGTTCCTGTACTTATTATCTTTAAACAAAAATAATTGAACAAGACAATGTATATGAATTTAATGATAGTTGGCCATTCACTATGGCCAGCAGACAATGTTTCATTGAAAATGAGACGTTGAAACAACATCGTCAGTTGTTAGAAGACCATGATAAAATGAAATTAACAAAATTGAAACAAAAATACGATTAAACGATTAAACAAAATAAGTATCAATGAAATAAAACAAAATTATGAGCATTTATTCAGTGAGTATTTAAAAACGAAAAACACAAATAGAAGAATAGCAAGATTTTCATAATTTGAAAGAGATAACGAAAACTATCAACAACAAAATAAATGATTAATAATGAGAATCAATCTCATAGCATAATAATATGCAACACCAGTACACGATTTCAATGCACTGTTATCACACATTGCCACGTTACGAAACGTTTTGTGCATTTTTGTTTGTTACATAACGTTTATGACACAACTTCACACATTTGAATTGAATATTAGCCGTAATTTTGCTTAACGTCGGAAGTGTAAACGGAACATGTTTTTTTAATTCTGTGACTGTTTTAAAAGTTGTCAGAGATTCTTATTTTATGAGAAAAACAATATGTTTAGAGCATACAGAAAAAAGAAATTGTTGAAATATGGTTAAAGTATTCAGCGAGTCACTTCTTAGCAATTTTTTTAATGTTTTTAGCTGACAAGAAACGATTCTGTTCGATTTGTTTGTTTAAGATATATGCAAATAGCATGATATACCTTCTTCTTTCCTATATAAATATAAATGTAATGATGAAAATAGAATATACATTTTGTTTTGATAGTGGATTCTCTTTTTACTATTCTTTTATCAATAAAATTAACAAAGGTGTTTCGTTTTTCTATTCAACAATGTAACATCATCTCTTTCAAACCAGTCTAAGGCTTAACAGTTATCTAATTTTTCAGGTTTTTGTTTGCAATCTATATCCCAGTGAAAGTTTTAACAGGTCGTTAAATTTTTTCACAATTCGACGACTTTTTGCTACCTCGTTGATTTCAACCTACTGGATATTCTATCTCAATTTTTTGGAGCAAGGCATTTAAAAAGCTATTAAATTCTTTCCTATTTTGTCTAAATATCTCTCAATGATAATTTTCAGATCATTTAATTTTCTCTTGTGTCTAAAACATCATGCCCGTCAGCGAAGATTTTCAGAAACGTTTTTTCAAGTAGGTGCTAATAATTCGATATATTTTAGTAACTGATTTTCCTTATGTCTAGCTATATCGACGAAAACAAGGCAAAATATATTCAACGATTAAGTGATGCTGTTGCTATTCCATCAGTATCATCATGGACAGAACAACGACATGAATGTATAAGAATGGTAAACTGGACACAAGATGTAAGTAGAAATTTTCTTATTTAAATTATTTTGACAATCTTCCAATCTTTGTTCGTTTTTAGCTCTTACGGACATATGGTATGACAGTTGAATTAGCCGATGTTGGTCAACAAGAATTACCTGATGGTACAAAAATTCCACTACCGCCTGTTATATTAGGTATTTTATCATTCAATGTGATAGAACCACGTTTTTTCTTTAACTTTTCTGTTTTGTTACTGTAGCTACATATGGAAATGATAAGTCGAAGAAAACAATTTTGATTTATGGTCATCTAGATGTGCAGCCAGGTAAGCAATGAGTAACTCGACGTTCAACTCAATTTGTTGATGCCTAAATTTTGCTTCAGCATTGGTGAGTGACGGATGGGATACCCAACCGTTTGAGTTAACAGAAAAAAATAAAAAATTGTTTGGACGAGGTAGTACAGATGATAAAGGACCAGTCCTTAGTTGGATCAATGTCATTGAAGCATATCAGCAGTTAAACGAACCATTACCAGTTAATGTGAAGGTAATAATAAAGTTTTAGTTTGCATATTTTTTGATATTAATTTTTCTCTGATTCTTTAGTTCGTATTAGAAAGTATGGAGGAATGTGGTAGCGAAGGATTAGAAGATTTATTGAAATCATTAAAAAAAACATATTTAATGGTTTGTATCGAAAATTTTTTTTAACTTTTTATTTATTTATTGATAAATAGATAAGACAAATGAAATCAAGAAATACAATGAAACCATGTAGGAAAACTAGAAAATGGATTTCATCATAATTTGCTCGGATTTAATCTTCAGCCTATAAATCTCATTGAAAAACCATATTTTATTTTAAGGATGTGGATTATGTTGTTATTTCCGATAGCTATTGGTTGGGCAAGGAGAAACCCTGTCTCCAATATGGACTTCGGTAATTATGTCTTTCTTTACGAAAACAGTAAACGATGTTCTTTCTTTCTTTTTTCTATTCAAAGTGGTATCTGCTATTTTTTCGTCGAAGTAGAATGTTCAACAAAAGATCTCCATAGTGGCTGTTTTGGCGGAACAATGTATGAGTAACAAATAGTTTAGAAATAAATATACTCATTTTCTTTACCAAATTATTCTAGTCATGAAGCTATGACGGATTTAGTTGCAATTCTTGATTCATTAGTTGATGAAAAAGGTTGTATAAAAATCAATGGTATGTACGATGATGTTGCACCAATACATCCGCAAGAAGAAGATGTTTACAAAGCTATTACATTTGACGTTGTAAGTTTAATTTCTTTCATGACAGATTATTACTTCAATCAATCATCGATGAAGTTCTTAGTGCTCATTTCTAGCTTTATGAGTTTTGCATCTTTTGTGACCTCAACAGTTAGCGATCCGAGAAGTAAATCAAGTCATCAATTTATACCTGTCAAAATCTTTTGATAATGAAAGACGTGTATTTTTCTTTTTCTTTTAGAAAAGTTATTGTGCTGAAGCTGGTGTTAAACAAGTAATACAAGAAAATGATAAAGAGAAAGTTCTTATGCATCGTTGGAGATATCCATCATTATCAATTCATGGAATTCATGGTATGTACGTAATTTTATTCTAATCAATTCTTATCATTGAAGAGTATTTTCTTTGGTTTCTCAGGTGCATTCGATGGAGTTGGTTGTAAAACTGTTATTCCTCGAAAAGTGACGGGCAAATTTTCTATTCGTATTGTTCCAAACATGAAAATAAAAACTGTAGAAAAATTAATTGAAAAGCACGTTGATAATATAATGAAAAATATACGTCATTCACCAAATAAATATTCTGTGAAATTAGAACATGGAGGTGACTACTGGGTAGCCGATTTCAATGAGTCTGTATATGCACAAAAAATGTTATTTAATTTTATCGTACATCTTTTTTTTTTAGTCCACAATATTTAGCTGCCAGAAGAGCAACGCTTGCGGGTATTTACCCTCTTTTCCAACAAAAACACTTTTATTTTATCTCTTCTATTGTTGTTTTTTTTGCACAGTTCATGGTATTGAACCTGATTTAACGAGAGAAGGCGGTTCAATTCCAATAACCATTACATTCCAAGAACTAACAGGCAAAACAGTTTTACTTTTACCAATTGGTGCTAGTGATGATGGAGCACATTCACAAAACGAAAAATTTGATATTGAAAATTATATGAACGGAGTATGTCAGTTAACCAAATAAATCTGTTTATACACTGTAAGAGATATCTAGGTGACCCAGAAACTCTATTATGCGTTTTAGGTGCCATTAAGAACTACCCAGATTACTTAGAAATGTTTTCTAAGCTAATTTTAGAGACATTTAATAATAAACTGCTAATCACAACTACTGTTAAATTTCATTATCGATTAGAAGTGAAATTCGTGTCACTGTAAAGTATATATTGTCTTCTATTTCAGATGAAACTAATGGGTGTTTATTTTCAAGAAGTGGCAAAACTAACTGCTTAAAAGGGCAAACAATATGGGAATAAACTATTTTACTCTCCTACATTTATCATGTTAAAGTAATTCTTTCGTAATAATTTTCTGTTATATTGTATTTCTTTTTATCGGACACTGCGTACTTTTCATAATTGTTATTACCAATTTATAAAAAGTAAATACAAAAATGCAATAAGCTAATACTCATCATTTATCCATGCTTGAGGTCTTATTGTCCATGTATTTAAGAGAGTCGTTTTAAACTTTATGAAATAAAGTAAAGCCAAAAATCAAAGAACAACATCATATTTTCGTATCAGTAAAAGATAACGGGTGACCAAGAATAAATGGTAGTCTCAATATTTTGCTTATAACTTGGTTTGGGTTTGTTTCCGAGACTCGATGTTTTTGTTAAAAGATGCGCTGCAAAATACTCTAGAAAATCATATCTAAACTATAATTTCAAAACTTCAATCAAAAAACTAAGCGAATTAGATGAAAGTCAAAAAAACGAAAACTTTCCAAATTCAAAAATGATTTCTTTTGTTAACGTTTCGAAAGTAAGAAAAAATGAATTAGCCATTTTGTAGCCCTGACTTCGCTCTATCTTTTAACTACACCAAATTTTTTCACATCAAAAGCCACGGCGAAATAATATTAGGCCTCTAGTATGCGAACAGAGTTATACATATACCTGAGATAATATATCTCTATTGGCATTTGCTTCACATTTGTCACATTTTTCTTTACAGAAAAGAGAACAGTTATTCAGCAAGATATGTTTCAGGCTACTGTGTCACTCGTTTTTCAATATATCAGACTGTTTCTTCTTCTATCTGTTACGCCTACGCCATTTTGTCAGTGGATCTTGCATTTTGTTTTTCCCTTTTCTGTGACGAAAAATGTGACAAATGTGAAGCAAATGCCAATAGAGATATATCTCAGATATATGTATATCTCTCTCTGAATGCTAGAGGCCTAGTTTCTCTGTCGATGCATTTTTTCATTAACTTTTTCAATTTTGGATATAATAGTGCTTTCAGTAAAAGTCCCAATACAAAGTTCCCCTATACAGTTGTTATTTTCATCAATGATCATCAATCAAGAAGCTTTACTTCAAATTCAATTCATTTCCACACGTTCGATTATATTAGAGCACTAGTAAATAAGGAGATATCTCTTTTCACATACGATATCTCGTGTGCGAACATTTTTTTGTCTCACGTCAGCACGTCGATTGAAACGAAAGAGAACAGAAAGATATGCATGTGCGAAAAGAGATATCTCCTTATTTGCTAGTGCTCTATTATTAGTCGAAGTACAATATCTACCCTATCCGAATTCAGAACGTTATCATCCCATTACTAATCTGCTCACTTCGATTTTCAATGATGAAATGAATGAATTCAATTTATGTATGGGACGATGCGCGAATTCGATTTTCTGTAAAATAGAAAATCATATATAGACTGTCTGAAAATCAACGGCGATTTTCTCTAAATAATTTTCAAGATTACGGTGTATATAGAAAATCGGTGTCAATTTTCAAGATTCTTGAAACCGACATGGATTTTTTATAATAACTTCTGAAAAGTAGTACACTTCTTCCTTGCGTCAGACTTTGGCGCAGACGTCATAGATCTGTTGTATAAACAGAATAAATTATTCCAGACAAATTCAACCATTAAATAGTATTGAGAAACAGTAAAAATTTTATTAAAAAAACATTAAAAAAGAAACAGTCTGTTGTTTTCTTGTCTTAAATTTTGTTATTTTTTGTTTTCCTGTTGTTAAATTGCCTTAAATTTTTGGAAGATACTAAATAGAATATAAAAATAGAGAAACAGACAAATCTGGATTAGGAACCGGAGCGAGTTATGTCTGAAAGTGTGCCAAAAGAGAAGCAGCGGCCTGTTTCGAAACTACCCTTGAAAAAATCTGAAGAAAGTATGGAGAAGTTGTAAATCATTGAGTAGATGTATGATAATGAAATAGCAGCAGCAAACAAAGACACATACAGGAAAACACTATGCGGAAATATCGGGCGAGAAACAATCTTCAGTCGTTAAACTAAAAAAGCAAGTCAACTGACAAGAACTGCCACTTTTATGAACGCATCTTGCTTCTGATTCGTCCGTTACAGCGACATCAATTGTGCCAATTTTTATAGAAAATCAAAGAGAATTTTCTAAAAATTTCAAAATCAACATTTTCTATAAATTTGAAAATCGGTGAGGATTTTCAATAAATTTGAAGATCCACGGGGAACCATTTTGTCCAGAATACTTTAAGAAGTTAAAGATAACAGCTTTTTACTGCAGTAATAGTATGTGTTCTTTTGTTCAACAGAAAAAACACATCCAACAACATTTGCAAAAATTTAATATCTCAAGTATTGACTGTTTCTACTGTGCTTTAACCGTTCATTCATGAAAAACAGTGAACTGTGAAACAACTCAAAAAAAAAAACTACGTCTTCTGAATATCTGGATTTTCGCTAAATGTGTGTATTTTTTTTGACTACGTACTCTTTTAATAGATCTGGTTTAGATTAAATTATAAAACTGTTTACACTTAATATCAATCAAATATATGACACGTGAAAAGAAAAAACGAACTGCTTTAAGAATGGCGTCATGTTAATCAATTCAATTCTTTTACGAATATGTACTTTTCAGAAAAAAGTAAAAAACTCCAGAAATCGGAAATTCAGAATTCAATCGGAAAAGAAGCTCAAAATCGGAAGACTTTGCAACACTGACAGTCATATTTGTTGTTTCATTCCTTTTTCCTATTTCAACTCATTTATTTGTTCGTCACTTATTCACTATTGTACATATACTGACTATAGTTCCTTACATTAGTCCGCCGTCCTCTTCTTGTTGTTTTCATTCATATATATATATATATATACACACGTTTTTTCGTTTTGTTCAGTTGTTCTCTTATTTTATATCATAAAGAGACATATCTGTCTAGAACATTTCAAGTACACATTCAGCCAAGTAAGTTAGTTGTTGTTTACACACTAACAAACCCACAGCAACAAAAACATCCACGATTTTGAGGCTCGAAATCAGTTAGCTGCATATAGCTTTTCAATTTGAATTTTACGAACTAAATCGGATACTGCAGAAAAGGTGAGGTCACCCCCCCCGTTTAAACATAGATCTGACACACTTAAAATCAGTTTTTAGTAGACGTATAGAGGTTAGGATAAGAACGACAAGCAAGTGCTCCTGATTAGTTCCTGAGCAGTAAATGCTTCAGCATTAACACAGTATCTTAATCAATCAAGTGAACACTACGTCTGACCTCCAAGATATGAGATAGCATTTCATTTTTCCCTAATAGAGCAAGAATCAGATTAAATAGGTTTAGGTTTCTACTTACGACTACTATATTATTGAGAAAGAAACCAGAGATACACGAAAAACTTTTCTTAGTACGGATTGAATAGAGCAGATTGAAATAGTGCTTTCAATTTTCCCCATCTTTCGTTTCTACGAACGAAAGATGGGAAAGAAATGAGATCACTATTTCAATCTGCTCTAATAAGATTAACTGGACTAGATTCTGACTGAAGAATGGTGTTTATTGCTGATGTCATATACCCAGTGAACAAAGGACCAATGAAACCGCTATAAAAATATGACTCATCACTAGTAAACTCCACTATCCTAATGCATTGGTGCCTTATGTGCTGCTTTTAGTTTTCTTTCATTCTTTTTCATGCAGATAAGATTCTAAGAGGTTTTCCACTAAACATCTAAAGGTATTCACTAAAATAGATCTAATTTTTTGTTTTCAAGTGAGTAATCCATTTAAGTATGATTCATTGCTGGATATGGGATATAAATAGAAGTGGTTGGTTTTTTTTCTATTCATAATCAGCCATTTCTATTTCTGCTGTGTTGAGTGAAAGAACTACAAATCAAAATTTCTATCCTATCATATACATTTATATTATATTTAAATCTATTTCTATTCTATTTTTACAAGAATGTCTTCAGAAGAACAACAGTTACAAAATGGTACAACTGCTGACTCTCCAGTATCTGCAGTTGAGAACGCTAAAAAATCTGATCCGGAAAGTTCAAAAGTAACAGAACCAGGAGAGAATGTGGCTGATGCTTCTGTTAACTCAGATGAAAAAACCTTAACAACACAGGCTGATACAACGGTACCTGCAACATCGTCACCAACGGATGAACCAACATCAACAACGACTGGTACTGAACAACATTCATTGGAAACACAGAATGGTAAATCTTATCCAAATTCCGTTAATAGTAAAGAAATTTCGGAAGCTGATGATCAATTAGTGACAGTGAATGGTAATGCCGATCACGCGGACGACGAAAAAAAAACGAATGGTCATGGTAAACGTGATATTGATTATGTGAATAATGACGGAACATCAGAAGGAATAACAACAGCAAAAAAGGTTAAAACTGCTGCAGTGGAAGACGAAGAAAAAGAAGATGGTGCAAATAAGAATGTCCAAGAAATTTCGGCCGTTTGAGGAAAAGATGGCGATAGTCATTGTAATAACGTAATACTGGA